AAAAATATAAGGTTATATAAATGTGTCTTCTACTTGGCTGTTATATCACAGTTTGTTGAACTGGAGTATAATGTGTACAATTCACAAATTTGTCTGATAACAGAAAGTGGTGTGTGATTGTGTTTATTTTACTAACCAGTATATTCACAGCAATCACTTCCAAATATCTCTCCAGTAAAGATGTGTTAATTACAAAACAGACAAGGTCTTCTATTATATTAAAGCTACTAACAAGAAGACAGCAGGAATCACACATGTAAATAGCATCATCAACCCCTATTTTAGTCCTCTGTTTTGATCTGTGAGTTGCGCATAGACCAAAGGTGCTATTAAAGACTCACTGTATGAAATAGGCAGCATTATATGAACAAAATTTATTCAACAAGAAAACAGACCTTTAACATGAATTTAACAAGCCTGAGAAATTATAAACTATCATATGCTGCAGATTCATGCAGTGATAATAAACAAAAAAAGGAAAGTAAGAGGTTTCCTTAAGCTAGCCAAACCGCTAATGGTTTTGTTATAAGCTGTCTACTGTTGAAGTGACCTCTGCAAAGTCTCAAGGCACTTGCACCAGGCAGAATTTAATCGGCCAGTTGGTGAAAAGAATTGCAGTATAGGATAGCATGTTACAATGAAAAAGCCACCTTAATCAGTGCACTTTTTTGACTGCAGTGTTATAAAGAAGTCCTGATTCCTCTTCTCAGGGAGAGATAATTTTGCATTAACCCTTTAGGCTGCATTTTAATGCAATTACAAGTCATCATGGTCAAAGGAACCTTAAACATCTAAAAAATGCTCAAGTACTTCCAGAAATGGAAATGACATCAGTGTATTTTCTCTTGAATTGACACTTTTGAGATCTGTGTTCCAATTACTGTGCCCGTAAAGTTTCCACTGTTCCATGTAAGGTTAGTACGTTGCTATTATTGCATCATCACACTGAACCTCAAAGTATGTAGACCTAGAGAATGCTTGAGCTACATTATGTACCCTAGTGCTCACCCAGGCTTTATCCATGAATCTTATTGTAGCATAATTAGCACCTCCTTTACCATTGCTCATTAGTGCACTGGACATTAATGAGCCTATTTATTTTGATACGATTCTCTAAAGAAGAAATTCGTTTGTTCTTGCCGTGCAAAAAAAAAGCAATTATATGATTGCACAGAAATAAAAATGTAGGGTGTGTTGCTGCATTTATGGTTTTTATTGCGTCCCAGATCTAATTTTAGGTTGCAGGTTGTTGAGCATGTTAGTTTTCCTTAAGACAGTTGCTATAGTGATTGCAGTGAATTCCTTTAATCTTGCTGTAGTTAAAGCATTCTTTTCCTTATTGGTTGTAATGATGCTGCTAAGTAGAATCAAATTGTCACTCAACTCATATTTTTCCAGTATTTTTTTAGGGAGTCAGTGTTCCTTAATTCAGAATAGAGTGCAATTCTGGGTTTAGCAGGACTTTGCAGTTTGCTGTAGTTCATATGCATGAAGGCATAACAAGAATATCTGAGTACTGATCAAAAGTACAGTGAAATAAGCAAGTTTACTGGCATCAATATGTGAATCATAAAGCTGTCAGTCTTTACTCCCTGGAAGTAGCAACACAAATTATTTGAAACTCGAATGCCTTGAAGCTGGTCTTAAACTATGCCTTTCACAGACCATTAGATGGTTGAAGACCTTTTATCATAAAGAACATCCAAATATGACCTTGTAAATCTGGGCCACTATTACAAGCCCCGCTGTTGGGTCATTTCTGTAGCATCTTTTGAAGTAAGGTATTGTATGAAGTGAATATGGAACTCAAATAGAAGTAGAAGCAATTTTGTTTAGAAAATGCTATCATAGTGTTGGATGGATTCCATCCTTTCTAGTGGAGCAGTCAGTTAGAATCCATTCTAGGAGTATAAGTGTTAGTACTCTAAAATATGAAGCACCTTGTGATTCTGATGCACTGCCAAGTTATTGTATCTTTTCCCTCAGAGTAAATTATTTGTGTTATTTCCTATCAAGTAAACCTCTAGAGGGCTACCGTGTAGAATGTTTAGTTTTGTTTTAGCTTACTTTTTATTTATACTCGCTACTTTGGTGGTTGGGCATTTGCAGGTGTTCACAAATTAGAACATCTGGTTCAAATTCTGTTTCAAGGGTTTGGGGAACTGATAAGAAAGAACGGATGTTATATAAAAGCACTAAATTTAAAACAGAAAAGTGGAATCTGGCACAGAACTCCAAAATATTAAGCTTTCTTAGCTGCTACTACTGTTGTCAGGTAACTGCCCTGAGGTAGCAAGAGAAATCCATGCATGGGAACCAGTTTCTGCACATGGATCAACTCTGTAGATGATTGCTTATGCAACAAGACTACCAGGGGTGGGATGTTTGTTTGTTTTTAAACCCAAACATACTCCAGACCTTTCAGCAAGAGTTTCATTACCGGTATTTTCACATTGCCAGCTGTGAATCTAGCCCCCTCCTTATCAGCTGATCAGCAGTGATATCACTGATCAGGGAGAGACACCTGTGCACAGCATGAGATAATGCACAAATGTGAATCTTGTCCAAAAGAGCACAGCCATGAGACAACAGCATAGTCACAAATCCAAGAATTGCAGGAACATCCATGAATACGTGGGCTTTTCTCCTCAAGATTATGCAAAGGATCAAGCTCCCTTTTCATCTCTGTGGTGTGTGTGTGTGTGTGTGTGTGCACGTACATGCATGTGCACACACCCTTAACTATTAAGAATTATAATTTAGCATCGAGTGCCTCTAATTTGTTGAGCATTAGTGTATGTAGATGATCATGCCTTAGGACAGAGGTCCTCACACTTTTTCAATAGGGGGCCAGTTGAAAGGTGGCTACACATGTGGGCCGATGGGGGGGATACCTGGGCGCGTGGGTGAGGCATCGTTGGGTGCATGCAAAGTGGCGTGCAGTGCACGCCATGGCAACTCACTCGCTTGGAGATCTGCCAGCGAGTCCAAAACCATCTCCAAGCGAGCAAGCCACCACGGTGAGCTCACGCACTGGTGGCTGGCGGCGTGGGCCGGATCCTTCCTGCGGGCAGTAGTTTGAGGACCCATGCCTTAGGAAAATGCTTATGTTACTCATGTTTTTGTTACTCATTGGCCTTATGGCAAAGCTTAATGTGAAGAATGATATGTATCACATAGGATGCTAGTAAAGTTTATATGTATGTTACTCCTTCCAGCTTCCATCTAAGCATGAAACATAGCAATCACCTGAAAGTTATTCCAAGCTCTTCTAGGCAACAGACATTTAAACTTGTCTGCTGTCTTCAGCTATCAGGTGAAGACCATAGCCAGACAGCTTCTTTGGTTCAGAAATTGAGTTGAGATATTGTAATCTTTTGCTTTGTTGGCCTCTGGATATACATATTTTAACCTCACCTGTTTTAGTCCTGTGAGGTCTCATTGGTACATCTAACCAGTATCATTGCTCCTCGCTCCTTCATGCGACTTTCCTTCATTTCACAAAGCCTCCTGAGGGTGAGCTCTGGCTGCATCTCCCTCCCCTCCCTCCCTCTACATGTTGCAAGTGCTCTTCACATTTGCCTGACCTTACTGTCCATGCTGCTTCTACACAGAAAGCACTTGCAACATGTAGATGAAGAAGCATGAAAACAATGGGTAATTCTTCCAGGCAATCAGTGCATGCAGATCACTCATCATGCCCCTCAGTAGAGATGGGCAGGCACACACATTATAAGATGTTACCATTCCTTAAGGCACAATGGATTTTCCCCCCAAGCTTTTCTTTAGGAGTCTTTTCTTACTGTCAAGAGTATTCACAGTGGTTTATACATTCTCAACAACTCAACAACTCTCTAAAGTAGGTCACTATCAGAATCCACAGATTAGAGTTGGGGAGCTGAGGTATCATGGTTTGCCTGTAAGGACACTTAATAAGATCCTTGTTTTGGGTTTTAGGTTATGTAGTTTTAAATTATTGTATACCACCTTGATGGCTATTGGACAGATAAGGCATCATGAAAAGGGTTAATAATGAATAAATGTGTAGATGAAGTCAGGGTAACTGGAGGGGTTCAGACATACAGTTCACACCATACTAGCCCTCTTTGTTTTGAGAACAACAGACTTGCTATTTTTAAAAAAGGTTTAAAGGATAAACCTAGAAATTATGCGGTATAAGCCTAGCCCTGTAGTCTTTGGTGTGTGTTTTGGTTTGTATTTTTTGCCCCATCTCAGATTTTGCAAAACGTGTTTTGAAGATACTTTCTGGACACTTCTTAGGCAAAATGAAGGAAGCATTTCTGTTTGTAGTTTATGGGCTTTTAGGCATAAACAAAAATGATAAGTTCTAAAAGTTGACAACTAAGTGACCTTGATTTTTGTTCCTCTCTCTTTCTGCTCTCTTTTACTCCTGGCCACAACACTGACAAGGTCGTCATAATCCATCCGACAGTTTATACCCTCTTTCATACTTGCAGGGAGTAAAAAGCATCTGACTAGAAGGGAATACATGGGGCAAGTTCCTTGCTGACTATAATTTTGTTGTCATTTCAAGTATTCCAGTGGTATAATTGATGTGACAGGGCTGGGCTTTAAACATAATCCCTTAGCTTGTGCTCACTTTCAGTTTTAGTCTCCCTGTCATTCAATTTGACCAGGTAAGATGTAGGTGACAAACATGTTTTTAAAGTTACATAGCGTGTGTGTGTATATGTAAACCTAACTATCAAAAGTCTATTAAAGGGTTCATAAAACTTAATATATTTTTTCTCAGCTCCTTGAAAAATATAAGAATTGGTGTTGTTTTTACTACACTAAACTGAATTGGTGTGTTGATGGGCCAGACAGCAGGCGGTTCTTTTTTATTAATATTATAATTAAATAATTTTCTGGAAAAAGGCCAAAAACAGATGTGAGTTGATTGTGACTTCTCCAGTGTTACTTGGTGCAATCACTTGCATTTTCAATGAGGAATTGACTTTGGCGTCTTGTTTTTACAGGTTGTTATTGATGCCTTCAGATTGATCAATGCTAATATGATGGTCTTGGGACATGAACCAAGACAAACAACTTCAAATCTGGGTCACTTAAACAAGCCATCTATCCAGGTAAATTCATATTTAGTATTGGTATCTTTACTTTGTGTGTGTGTGTGTGCACACATGCCCTTCTGCTATGCGTATAATAAATTGAATGCAACTCAGTTACCTTAGGCTTATAAAAGACAATATCAACATTTTTAGAGATCTTAAATGGCATTAAGATATGTATTTATTTTTTACAACTGCTGTGCCCCTATTACAAGATGCTGTTTTTCGAGAGATTATATGCAAATCTTTTTCTGAGCTACTCCAGTAGCCAGAGAAAGATATTTCAGAGACTTAAACATTGATGCTTCTGGACTCCCTTTACTGTTGGTGTTAATTTTTCTTAAGGATGCTGAGAATCATTGAGGCAGTTCAGTTGAATTATCACACTTAATTATTTGGAGGGTAGGCACTGACATCTGTACATTTACTCCACAAATACGTTTCAGGTTATAGCTTAACTGCCTTTAGCAAAGCAGTGTTGGCACCTCAGCAAATTAGTCTTTTCAGATGTTTCCTCACCACCTGGGATTTTATTCATATATCAAGTAAGAACAGGCTGTGGCGTCATGGGCTTTCTCCCATTCTCCCCTTGATTGTGGATAGATCCTCTGTATCTCCTGGTTGACAAATTACCTTCTATTCATGGCAAAAGAATCCCAGAACCTGCTCACAATTTGAGTTGGGTAAAATCTTAGTAAGCAACATCTGCGCTAAACTCGTACATGTAATTTATTTACTTTAACAGAGCTAATTCAAGTAAGTATGCTTATGATTGCAATTTAGTATCCAGTCCAGAACACATTTGCTAGGTAAATATCTCTGTCTGTCCATAAAATATAATTTTAAATACTTCTTAACTAAATGCTTCACTAAGGTCATAGTCCTATGGTTCATGGGAGGGTGTTCCCAGGGCCACAGGTTAGCTCTTCCCTCCAAAGACCACATTCATGGGGGATCTTACCTCACATGCTCTCTCAGTCCCCATAGAAATGTTTGAGTCCATTGGCACTTCAAAGCTAAAAAGAGGGTAGATTGAGAAGTGTCACAGGCAGCTTCCAGTTACCAGAGCTCGCCCTGATACTTGGGGAGGAAGTCAGCATTATCCCTGGTGTACTTAATTCTATTCCTGTAGGTTGCAATGGGAGGGAAATGGCTCATATTAAAATTGAAACAATAACAAAACAAGAAGAGGGAGGTAAAACAGTGCAATGCATCTTCTGCCTTGCAAGTCAGTGTAAGCCAAGCAGGGCTTTGGATGAGACAGTCTTCTCCAACTATGTCCGGCTTTCAGGAGTGAATGGGAGGCTTAAAGCTGCAATTCCGGGTATGCTCATGTGGCAGTTAGTTGAATGTTTAAACTGTTGGCAACTCTGAGGAAAGAAATTACATCTTGCTGAGTTGAGGGTGTTTCCTGTATAGGTACATTGCAGATGGAGCATCCTAGATATCTTAATATCATTTAAGAATTATGAGCCAGCCTTGGAAACATGGCTTTGCTCAGATTGGTTGCTCTGTAGATGAACCCAGCATCCCTTACATGCAATTAATAGATATTTCAGCATTGCTCTTAAATGTAGTTTAATTTAATGCTTCTAAAGTTCTCCACTTATTCAAGATTTGAACCCAGGGTTTGAAGTTACTCTTAAACCCTAGGTAAGGAAGAGTGACGTAAGGAGGTCTGGAATTATGTAGACATTCATATACCAGTTAAAGGGAGGGCAATTCACCCTGGAGAGGTGCTGCTAAGAAAGCCCTGCTTTTACTCAGGCCACTTGGTAGGAAATAAGTGCTGTTGCAAATGTTGTAGCCATTAGAAAATGTGAATGCGAATGTTACTGTTTCTCCAACTTGTGGAGAAATTAGAACAAGTCACCTGAATACCTACTGTGGCCTTTTTGGACTGAACACTATACTCACTGAATGTTCTGTATATCAAAACTTGCCAGTTAGGCAACTGAATTAGATTGTAAAAAAAGAAAAAAAGTGGGATTTGGAATTTTGGATTCCTGTTCCCCCGATTAGAGCTAATATAAACAGGCCTTCATACAGAAAGAATCTTGTTTCTTAAACAAACATTCCCACATGGATTATTATTACTTTGTTGTTATCATTCTCGTGCACTAATGAAGGTATTGCCAAAAAATATTTTTCTTTTAAAATAAAATTTAAAAGGCTCAGATAGTTGCCACCAGAAGCCTAATTATTTCTCTGAAGATTAATTACAGGAGGGCTAATAGCAACATATGCTGTAAACACTGCACTTATTTTGAAAACAGCACAATACCACTGAGGTATGCCTGTAAGCATCAGTTTTTGCCCTCATCTTGGCAAAGTCATGCCTGGTCTCAGTTTAAAACCCTTTGATTTCAGAATGTCTGATTCTTCATAGAGTTCACTAACAGGAGCTTAACCAAATCTCTTGCAGACAAAAGAAATTTTATTTAGAAAAGCGGAAGCTTATTGCTCTTGATCTGAATCTATGCAAAAGATAATGAGAATGGAAGAACCCACTAATGTTTTTGATTGGTGCAGGCAAGTCTGTGCTTGTACGTTTCTAGAGAATATATTACTGGGCTTTTCAAGGCAGTATATAATGACCTCTCAAGCAAACCCCACAGTGTCATTCTGCATCATTATTTTTTCTTTTTGAAAGTTCAATATCTGGATCTGAGATCATCCATCAAAAAGCATAGTGAACTTCTTTGCGGCTGGGTAGTTCTCATTCTAAGCCCAATTATGACCTGCTGTAAATGTAATCATTTCCATAAGTTAATGTGTACTATTCCTAGAAACAGAACCAGGATTGAAAAAGCAACATGCATAAAGTTGAGGCCATAGGTCTTACTCCCAGTGGCAAAGAGAGAGAAGCAGCTATTTGGCTTTTAAAAGCAATAAATCATTATAAGCTGTTCTGAGCCTTTATCAGAAAGGATGGGATAAAAATGTTTTAAATAAATACATCTTTCACTATTAGGAGAAGTTCTGTTCAGCTAGCTTCATTTTAGGATATGGCTTTCCCTGTGCACATGTGGCATTTCTTTGGATTCCAAGCCAGAAATGATTGAATGCTTTTATTTATCTTTGAGTTATTGCACTTCTTACATAGATAGGGAATCTGAGTTTAAATATTGGAATATCAGCACAGTCTCGTTCTGCTTTGCTGAAGAACGTGCATGTCTGACCTGTTGTGCATTTACCCACCTGTTCTGTTGGTACCCTTTGTTCTTCGTCGTGGCCTCTGTGCATCACACATATGGGTGCTGCGCCTGCGCAGTGCCTAGGCTGGAAGATTAGAAAGCTAACGGTTTTTGGCGGGAAAAAACTCCCCTCCCCTCCCCTCCCCTGCCCCCACAGTATAAATAGAGCGGAGCATCCGCCATTTTACTCAGTCTTTGCGACCGCCGTTCGCTGTGCCTCGTGCCTGTTCGTCTCTCGCTTAGATTTTCGCCTTGTGCTCCTAACGGTTATACCTTGTTCTACTTACCTCGTTCCTCATTATATTCCTATTTCTTTCTTCTCTTCCTCGTTGTAGTTTTTTCTTCTATCTCTCTAAAAAAAAAAAAATCCAAAAATATTATTCTTACCCTCTGTACTATCATCTCTTTCTTCTTTTTCACAATGGCACAGCAGGCGGCATTCCGCAAGTGCAGTGAGTGCGGCTCCAAAATGTCTCCCTCCGACCTGCATGACTTATGCCTTCTCTGCCTCAGCGAGGGGCATAGGACCGACAAGTGCAAGCGTTGCCTGGCCTTTACTAAACAGGCCAGGAAGAATAGGGAGAATCGTCTCCATAAGTTGCTTTGGGATCAGGTCTTGCTCCAATCAGACCAGTTAGTTCCAAGGCCTACCCCTTCCTCGGCTGTACCACCGCAGCACTCCGCCTCTGCTTCAGCCTCACCCTCTAAGCGCCCCGCCTCAACATCGGCCGCGCCACCGCAGTGTCCTTTGGACGAAGGCGCTGCTTCGACGGAAGCGCAACAGCTACCTTCTCCTCCAGCTAAACAAAAGGAGAAGCGTAAACATTCAGAAACGGATAAATCCTCCGGGCACAAGAAGCTGAAGAAAGATAAGGCAGCTAAGGCAGCCCATAAGGGCAAGAAACTTGACCGACCCAAACATCAGGGCTCGGGTTCATCGGGGTTCTCTGTACCGACCGCCGCTACGGTACTGACTCCCTTGGGACCGGCCCTGCAATTGGCGATGCAGGTGACTCCGCCGGGATCCCCCAGGCCTGTGGTTCAGCCTGAGAGCGTGTCTCCCCCACCGGAGCCACCACTTAGGGAGTTCATCTCCGATGGAGAAATTAGAGATTCCCCACCAAGGCAACGTTCTCCGACTCTGATGCCTACTGCTAGGCCACCTGAGGGAACACAGTCGCCGCCTAGGCGTAGGAGCCGCTCATCGGAACGCCAGGGGGATGACTGGCCTATGCCCAGCTATGGCGGCTTCCCAGGCTGGAGTGGATATCCACCCTATGCTTACTACCCTCGGGACCATCATTCGCCATCGATCCTGAGAGAGGCGCCGTCCACATCCGGCCGTATGGAACGGAGACTTCCACCTTCTCCTGAGACCTCCTCGTCTAGCGAACACTACCGCTACCACCAGGACTCCGACAAGTCGGAAGTAGACTCCACGTCCCCGGATGTGGCCATCACTTCCCAAGACCCCGGATTCCCGGACAAGCCCCATGTTTCCTTCTCAGAACTCGTTTCTCGTCTGGTTCGGTCACTGGAAATAGAGGCCTACCATCGCCCCGGCCCCAGCACCGACCGATTTTACGATATCGTCTGGGGAGAGCAGTCCACAACCATTGCCTTGCCTCTTATTACCACACTCTGCCAGGCAATGGTCCAGCCCTGGGACCCACCGGCGCAACCGCAAGCGATGTCTCATCAGTACGAGTCTATGTACCGGGTCAGAAAGGAAGATACTCCATTCTTGCTGCGCCACGCTAAGCCCAACCCTTTGGAGGTTGAGTCATCCCAGGGCAGGGAGACTCGGGGCCATACAACACCCCGAGATAAGGGAGGAAAGTCAATATGATTGCACGTCGGGTCTATGCGGCTGCAGGACTCGGCGTGCGCATATCAAATTATGAAGCTACTATGGCATGTTACCAGTACTTCATAATGCAGAAGCTGGATAAAGTCGCCTCCTCCCTTCCGGACCAACAGGCAGACCTAGCCAGGGTCTTTATAAAAGAGGCAATGCAGGTGGCCATACAGCAGTTGTCCACCGCAAGACATCATGTGGACACTGACTCTCGGGCCATGGTCAGTGCTATTTTCCTGCGACGACATGCATGGCTCAGGAATTGTAACTTTCCTGAGGAAATGAAGAGGAGGATAGAGGAAATGCCATTCGATGGCACTGGCCTCTTCCACACGAAGACCGATCGAAAACTCAAAGCCATGCATGAATCCCGCATGACAGCGCGTCGCATGGAGCTCCTACAAACCAAACGTAAGTGGTCATGGTCCAGGCCTTATGGATACCAGCAGTATCAGCCTCGCCAACAATATCAACAGAGGCAGCAGCATAGAAGGCAACAGCCCCAACAGCGCTTCTCTCAGGGCCGTCGGTGCTTCGACTCCAAAAAACGCCCTCGTTGATGGTCCCAGCGAACCAGTTTATCTTTCCACCTCCCACCCTCCCCTCTCCCTTTTGGGAGCTGGCTTCAAAGCCGACTCCCCATTTGGAAGCCCATTACATCTCATAGGTGGGTGTTGTCCATCATTCAGCTTGGATATAGAATAGAATTCGGCATGGTTCCACCGTCGAGCCCTATCCGATTTACGCCACCATCTTCGGTTTTGTGCGATGAGGTCTACCAACTTCTTCGTAAAGGTGCAATTCGACAACTCTCTCGCACCGATGGGCTTCACGGATTCTATTCTTGATATTTTACGATCCCCAAACGGGACGGTGGTCTTCGACCTATCCTGGATCTGAGGAATGTCAATAGATACATTAAACCAAAAAAGTTCCGGATGACTGCCTTACAGAATATTCTTCCTTTGCTGAAAAAAGGGGATTGGTTCGCCTCATTGGACTTGAAGGATGCTTATTTTCATATCTCTATCCATCCTTCCCATAGATGCTTCCTGCGTTTTACTGTTGGATCCGTTATTTTCAAATTCAGTGTACTCCCGTTCGGTCTAGCTATGGCACCGAGAGTTTTTACAAAATGCATGGCCCCGCTATGCGCTCACCTGCGGCTTCGGGGTATACAAGTCTACCCCTATTTAGATGATTGGCTCATTGTGTCACAGACTAAAGACAACCTCCTTGCGGCTGTCCATACGACTTGTACTTTGCTTGATGACCTTGGACTATGCATTAATTTTAAGAAATCGTCACTTATCCCATCACAGGTCATCGCTTTCATCGGGGCACGTATCGACTCCATTCTACAAAGAGCGTTTCTTCCTCCATCTCGCAGAGCCACGCTGTGTGCCCACATCCATCGGATCCGACAACTGAGGACAGTGCAAGCCGTCACTATACAAAGACTGCTGGGGCGCATGGCAGCCTCAGTGGCCATTGTGCCTCACGCAAGACTCAGACTTTGGCCGCTTCAGTTGTTCTTCAACAAATCGTTTCACCCACAGCGGGATTTACAAACCAAGCTTCTTTGGATCCCATCTTCAGTCCTTCACTCCCTGACATGGTGGACTGTTACACGCAACCTATCTACAGGCATTCCGTTCTGTCAGCCCCAACCAACTGTGACATTGTACACCGATGCGTCCCATATCGGATGGGGTGCGGCATGTGCAGGACTTCGGGTCCAAGGGGCTTGGAACCGACAAGAAGCGGGGAGACACATCAATTTCCTCGAGCTTCTAGCGATTTTCAACGCTCTCAAATCTTTCAAAACTGTTATACACAGCCAAGTTGTGCAGATTGCGTCCAACAACATAGCTGCTGTCTTCTACGTCAACAAGCAAGGCGGAACGAAGTCTCCGCTCTTGGCCCGATTGTCAATGCAGATCTGGGATTGGTGCATCCCAAGGGACATAATGCTACTGGCGGTACACCTTGCAGGAACCGAAAGCGTAAGAAGTGGATACACTGAGCAGGCAAATGTCAACGACCCATGAGTGGGAGTTGGACTGGATGATTTGCAATGAACTATTCTAGTTGTGGGGATACCCAGACATAGACTTGTTCGCTACTTGAAAAAACAGGGTATGTGAACTGTTTTGCTCCAGAGCGGGTATCGGACAGGACTCAAGGGGAGATGCCCTCATGATCAATTGGAGCAACCTGTTTTTCTACACGTTTCCTCCAATTCCCCTTCTGATGAAGGTGGTATTGCAGATTGTTCAGGACAATGCTACAGGAATTTTGATAGCCCCAAGGTGGCCGAGGCAACCCTGGTTCACCGCTCTCCTTATTCAGTCTAAAGGTGTTTTCCGTCGACTTCCACCAGTCCCTCACTTGCTGATGCAGTGCAACGGAGCAATCTGACACCCAGACCTAGCTTCGCTCAAACTGACAGCGTGGAGCATTCGCTAGATTCGGTCTCTCCATCGGTTCCATTACCATCTCGATCCACGGAATCCTCTCCTCAACTGCGTACATGACTGACTTCTCCTTTGGGATCGACAGAAACCGACGTTTTTACATCCTGATATCCAGGCGATTCTTGAATCTGCACTAAGACCTTCCACACGCCAGTCTTACTCAGCAAAATGGAAAAGATTTTCCTCCTTTGCTGGCCGTCATTCTTTTTCTCCAGAATCGGCATCCATTGAGAACATTCTACAATTTCTGTTCGAACTTCACCATTTGGGACTTAAGCCTTCATCTATAAAGGTTTACACAGCTGCCATCTCACATTTCCGTGGTACCATACAAGGCTCATTGGTTTTTTCTCAACCTCTGATTCGTCGTTTTCTTAAAAGACTACAAAATTTACACCCGTCAATTCGCCCGGTCATGCTGACTTGGAGTCTTTCTGTTGTACTCTGAGCGCTAACAAAACCACCGTTTGAACCTCTGGCGACGGTGGATCTACATCTAGTATCATGGAAAATTGCCTTCCTTGTTGCAGTTACTTCAGCCAGAAGGGCCAGTGAGCTTTGTGCTCTACGCATAGACCTACCATTTTTGAATTTTCACAAAGAAAAGGTGGTTCTTCGAATGGACTCAGTGTTTCTTCCTAAGGTCGCAACATCGTTTCATTTGAATCAGGATATCATCTTGCCTGAATTCTTCCCATCTCCATCGACTCCGATTGAACGCTCTCTCCACACATTTGATGTTCGGCGCTGCCTTGCCTTTTACAGATCTCGCACAGAATCCTTTCGGAATTCTGACAGACTTTTCATATGCTGATAATGACAAAGGTTCTCCAGTCTCATCTCAGCGATTATCTAAATGGATTGTACAGACCATAGTGTTGGCCTACCAGTTGGCAAGAATGGACTTACCTACACTTCCGAGGGGCCATTCTACGCGAGCAGTAGTGACTTCGTCGGCTTTTGCGGCAGGTGTTCCAATTCAAGATATTTGCAGAGCCGCAACCTGGGCTGCTCCGTGTACTTTCGCCAAGCATTATCGGCTTGATGTGCGCGCCAGACAGGACTGTTCCTTTGACAGAGCAGTTCTCTCTGCCATTCTTCAGTGACGACACCTCCCTCCTCCGAGTCTGGTAAGCTTGCTAATCACCCATATGTGTGATGCACAGAGGCCACGATGAAGAAAAGCAGATTGCTTATATGTAACTGATGTTCTTCGAGTGGCCATCTGTACATTCACACAACCCACCCGCCGGCCCCGCATGGTGTCGGTGAGTGGACTTGTTCTTTTTCTATCAGTTCCGTACTAATCTTGCGGTACCGATGTTGCTTGTTGTGGTACTGTCATTGCCTGCTAGGGGGCGAACGTCAGTCTTCAAGACTGAGTAAAATGGCGGACGCTCCACTCTGTTTATACTGTGGTGGGAGGGGAGCGAAGCTTTTTCCCGCCAAAAACCATTAGCTTTCTAATCCTCCGGCCTAGGTACTGCGCGGGCGCAGCACCCATATATGTGAATGCGCAGATGGCCACTCGAAGAACATCAGTTACAGGTAAGCAACCTGCTTAAAATGTGTGTTGACTTTAAGGTTGCGGTAACACAAGGCACACACAGATATTGTATAACTGGTGGCAAGGTGTAGCTTTGAATGTAGAAACATACGCATCTTGCAGGAAAGCCATTCAAATAATTCATCGCTAAGCTCTAATATTTCTAGACTTGAATCTAATTTGTGTAAGTATTTGGAACAAATTATCGGATACAATTTATTTATTCTTTTTCAATATTCTTTCCCTAGGCTTTAATTCATGGACTGAATAGACATTATTATTCCATTACTATCAACTACAGGAAGAATGAACTAGAACAAAAGGCAAGTTTTGTTTTTCATAGGCTATTTTTATTTTCTTTAGGATATTTTAAGTCACTGCAAATGGTTTAAAGGGATTTGCAGCATGTTGCAGAATCATGATCTGTATGTTAATTTCTGATAATCTTTTGTTGTCATTTCTATAACTTTTTCCTTGCTGCCATATAACTGATGCATTACTGCACCAAATGAACTGAAATCTCCTGCAAAAGAAAAAAAAAATCCTCTTCCAGAAGGCACTGCATTCATAACTAGTGAATGCTAAATAAGTTGTTGGTGAAAATCAGTCTTCTACTTAAACAATTTAGGAACATCTTGTTTTAAATTATGACAAGAAACATGGCTCTTCTATTTTTAAAGCCACATATTTTTGAAAGCTATTTTCTGTTTTTTGTAGTGCTATTACAATGAACCTGTTAATTTTCTTCCTTTTATTTTTTAAAGCATATGCCTGTTTCAAAGGTAGACTGAATAGTGCCTGTGGGTACTCATACAACTCCACACATTTCTTTGCACCTACCAAGGTGCCCTACAGCTCCATCATTATCGTGCATTCTTTTATTTCTACTAACAGCTTGAATTGCCGTGAAACAGGTTTTTGAAAACTGGGTTCAAAGAAGCTGTTTGCTGTTTTGAGGTTCAGGCCCCATGACTGTCTTTTACTCCAGTCTTTACTTTGGGGTATGTTACTTATCATTTTGTCATGTTTTCCCACGACGGTCATTTTGTGGTGGTGCCCAGGACAATTTAGCAAATGCACTCACAGTCCCCTGCTGTCGTGCAGCTTACAAAATAAATGTTGTGAAATCAGATTTTCTCCCTACACCAAACAAGCAAACACACAAACCAAAGATAATTCAACTGCAATTAAGCATCTACGAAGTAAATGGCATCAGATGATTAAAAATTACTTGGCCTGTTGAAACAGGAAGGCCTAGTGAGCCTCCTGAAATGCTTGCAGTGTTGAAGAGTAGAAGATGTGTCTCGAGTCTAGACCAAAAATCAATGCCTCAGCTAAAATAACCCTCTGCTGATAGCACTCAGTTCTGACTTCTAAAGCAGCAAAACTGTAGAAATGAGGCATTCCCTGAAGAAGAAGTCTTTCTTGATTACAACCAGAATTTTGGCTGTCTCTGGGCCAAGCAGGTTGTGTAGTTGTCATAATGCAGGCTGAATATGCAGAACCTTCTTGCACCCATAAGCAAGCATGCTTTGACATTCTATACCAAGTGAATATTCTAAAGTATTTTCCAGGATGGTCACACACCCACTGTAAGGCAGTAATCAGTCCTCAAGGCAGAACCAAGGGCCAATTCTGGCCTGCAGTTTTCCCTACAAGGCTATTCCCATTCCTCACCCATCCACCCTACCTGTAGATTGTTTGTCGTTTCCTGGCTCCCCCCCCCCCCCCCCATTCTAAAAGGTCAGAATGCCATTCCTGAGGTTTAGTTACAGGCAACATTTCTTAAGTTTATATGATGAAAGTGAATTAAAGCTTTTTTCCAAATATTATTAAATAAAAACTGTAGTTATAAAATTAATAGAAGTAATAACAATTATTGACTTTGTGTGTAATCTGTCACACTTACTGCTATATGTCAGGTCCCTTGGTATCCTTTTCTTTCTTTCTGATGTTACTTTGTCTTTTATTTATAAATTTTTTTAAAAAAATTACATGATGATCTGATTAGAATTTTTCCTTACATTTTCTGAGGTAATTGGGAAGCACAGTTAAGTCAACAATTACTGTAAGCAAGTTGAGAATTTCTTCATGTACTACATAACTTTCCTTTGATTCCTTTACAACTGTGAGGGGAATAGTCTTCAGAGGACATTTTAAAACTTCATAATTCTATGTACCATTTTTGCCTTTCAGTTTTCCTTACTGACTTAGAAATTTTACTCACCTGAATGCTGAAAATGTGTATGCTTTAGACCCACAACAGCTTTCACAACACGAGCAACAAACATTTTTGAGGTGTCCTAATTTCCTCCACTCAGATATCCTCCCATACTAGTTATCTTTATTGGAAGGTATAGAAATTAACTAAAAGCAGTATTCAATCATAAAAGGATATCTGTTTTCCAAAAAACAATGAGTCCAGACAGAATTCAACTTTTTCACTTGGAGCCAACTCAACAGAGCTTGTAGGAGTCCATGCTGAATTCTTCGCCATTTCAAAATAGCAACGTTATGGCACACACAGATTGGATGAAGTGAGAGACTATTGTGTGTCAATATGGATGCTTTGTGTAATAGACTCGTGCTATCAGGACAGAAACTTCTATTTTGAATGGTCCCTCCGCATCTCATTTCCATCAGCATATCTTTCCTGTCTTTGCTCCACGTTCCAGAGGTTTGACCCTTGAATTAACCTGAGGAAATATATTCTTGTTCACTGCACTGGAAGCACTTTTGTACAGGCGATAACAGTAATTGCCAAGTGTGATGAGAAAAGGATTTTAGGATTCAAGGCTATTTCCATTAACATGTGCAGTCTTCACCTAGTGTGCTTGAATCCATTTCAGTCCAACATTCTTCTCTGCATTCATGCCTTGGTACTCATGACTGAGAATTGGACCTCTGTGATTTTGACACCAATTATGTATTGGGAGCTGGCAGAAGGCCTGAAACCACTTGATCCTAAACAATTTTTAGCACTCAATCAGGGCCTTACAGATCCCCCTGTGAGCGTGGGTTCAAGTTTCACAATGTCCCTGCCTCAATTTACCCCAGAGTGCTAGGGGAACCTCCAGAACAGTGACTCAGTAGTGCTGACAGCTGCAAAAGGAAGGGGAATTCAGCAGATATTACTTCCCCTCACTTTCTGCCAGGTGGAAAACTTCGGATATACTCCCATTGAGGGGGAAAGGGCTGTATGCAACACAGAGAATATCAGCATGATAATTCATCAGTGCTATGAGTGTCTTTTACTGTGCAAATCCTATGGCATAACTTGCGGCGTATTGCAGAAACATGATCTAAATTTCACTTTCTGATAATCTTTCATTGCAATTTCTATGTTTTTTTCCTTGATGCCATAGAACTGATGCATTACTGTACCAAATGGACTGAACTTTGCTGCAAAAGAAAAAAACATGCTGAGTTTCCTTTCTAGGCCACAGATGTGCATTTATGACTCTCTGTTCTTAACTACAGCAAACTCCTTTAAAATTAGTCAAACTTACTGATTTGATCAGCTGTGTTGACTTATTTTATTTTATTTGCAGATGTTGCTCAATTTACACAAGAAGAGTTGGATGGAAGGTTTAACCCTTCAAGACTACAGTGAACACTGCAAACTTAATGAAACAGTTGTGAAGGAAATGCTGGAATTAGCAAGGAATTACAACAAGGTACTATATTCAGCCCTTGTCAGAACTTTTGCTTTGATGTAAGGATTGTCCAGATAAACTGTCAGTGGGACAGTTCACACAATCAAGCAGATCTCAGTGTCTTTTTAAGTAATGCTGGGCTGTGGTGTGGGCAGCCCAACTGAATGATTTGCAAACAATGGCAAGCGCCCACCCTCTCCAGGGTCATATGGCACAACAAGGTGAAGCCATGGCTTGAATATTTAACATTTGCCCAGCGTGCACCAGGATTCACTGTGGCTTAGATATGCACAGTGGGCTTCAGTGGACATGCAGACCCAATTGGTGTATGCCCCAAACCAATAGACTGCCCAAATGGATGTGCAGATTACCTTTTTGTCCTTCTACACAGAAAGTATCAAGTATGGGCAAGCACCCAAGCTTAAAAGTGGGCATGTAGGAAAGCAGTTTAGAAAATTAAACTGTTCAAGAAGTAGACGTGCACTGCATGAACAAGGGGTTTCTTTCTGTTATTAGTAATTTCCTTCTTCTGAAATCTAGGCGAGTGCTCCTATACAGGAGCACACAGCAAAGTTTGGCCTGTATAACATACAACAGTGGTGTAAATCTAGAACAGGGAAAAGATTTATCACTCATCACATCAGAAGCACCTCAGTAGGAGTTGATGGCACTTGCATATTCTTTTCATTCATGCCTTATTCCTTCCATCTGCCTGTTTCCCCCTCTGTTGAAATTTAGGCCCCTACCCTTCCAATTTCCTCCCTTTCTTCCTTCCCTCTGTCCTTCCTTCCTTCGCTCTGTGATGGCCCATGTGCAGCATTATATGTAAATACCAACCACATTCCACAGAGCAATGACAGCAATTGCTTATCTGGAAAGGAGCAAACATGGACCTTAACTTTGATCTGACACACATTACTTGGTGTGATAACTGCATCACTGAAGTTAGCTTCCTTTGTCATTGGATATGTAACCCTTAAAATGTTACAGCTTCAGTTTCAATTTTGCAAAAGAATTTTTAAAAGAATTAATAGGATCTCAAGTGCTAACCTTTTCTGCATTTTCTTCACAGGCTGTGGAGGAAGAAGATAAGATGACACCTGAACAGCTGGCAATAAAAAACGTTGGCAAGCAGGTGAGGTGTAATGAATTATACTGACATGAAAGAACATGCTTTGTCTGTTTAGTCACATACTATTGGTTTTTCTTTCTTCTTAAGTCCTTAAAAATAGTAAATTTAATTCTACTGAAGCAAATTATTTCAAGTCTTTGACCTAAGGTAGTCTCAGCAACGGACATAAATTTGTCACTTGGCATCAGCCACTGTTTCATATGGTACATTTTAATACCTAAATAAACCATCTGGCATCTTAGCCTTAACACAGTGGATTTTCCCTAGTGTGCCTGCACTTGGGTAGAAAAACCAACGGAACAAGAATACATGTATATAATTTTGTCATCAACATTATTGAAGCTGATTACCCATACATAAAGCTCATGGTTTTACTTTGAGTATAAGGCGATTATTTGGGATCAGTATTGTAATACTAAAAACCCTAGGCCTGCATCTGATTCCATGTCACTAGTTCTTAGGATACCTGTTACTGAAGTAGTCTTCTATGCCAATGGGCATACCCTAAGGAGATGTTCAGGATTAGTTTTAGTTATGTGGAAGTAAGGTTGGAATGTAAAGAAGCTCACTAGAGCCTTTCCATTTAGGATGAGAAAATTCTGGTACCTCCTCAACCCATTTTTCCAACACATAGCACAACTGCTGTGGTGTCTTGAAAGTACAGAGAAAAACTTTTGAGTTGTAATTTTGCAGCTCTACTTTGAAGGGCGGGTTTAATGCTGTGCTTTGCTAAAAGGCTAAATTACAATTTTCCTCTGCCATGAGCTCACTGGGTGATCTTAAGCACTCATCCCTCTGCATCAGTTTGCCCACTCAATGTAAGATTGGGATATTGCCGCTTCCCACCCTTACAAGTTGTTTTCATCAGAAGCATTCTCATTATGGGGTGTTTTGTAAACCCTGTATGTTGACTCCCATGATTCCTTTTAATTCCACTCTTGATTGCTACTTTTTTTCATTTGCTGCACATTTAACTTTATTTTCATGTCCTCAAAAATGTGCAGTTGGAGTCGTTTAAAAAAAAAGCCCTAGAAAATTGAATGTATGTGTTTGTAATTTTTTATTACAGGTTTTTTTCCAGTGTTTAATGTGTGTGTTAACAGCTGTCTGATACATATAGGCTTGCCCAGTCAATTGCTTTGTACATTTCTGCTGTCAAAGGAAGCTGCAAAGTGGAGTAGGCAGCATACATGGAAATTGTCACAGTGAGACTGTTCATAGGCTAATTTACACACAGTTTCCAGGGATCAGTTGCCAAGTTCTCAAGTGAAAGTACCAAAGGAGGAAGGGGCAAAAATAGGTGCACCAGAAGCAGGGGAAGGGAAGATCTGTCAGTTGGAGATTTAATCTTCCTAATTTTAAGTGCTGAACTGACACTTATCAGTCTGTATCCCCACTGTCTCAGCACCACCCTGAGTCTCTTGGTACCCCACCTATTGAGGGGCATTATTAACTTCTCCGGAACTGCAGGTGGTGCAGTGGTTTAAACTGCTGTGCTGCTGGGCTGGTAGAGCGAAAGGTCTCTGGTTCAAATTTGCACAACAGGGTGAGTTCCCGTTGCTCCATCCCAGCTTCTGCCAACCTTGCAGTTCGAAAGCATGCAAATGCAAGTAGATAAAAAGGTACCACTTTGGTGGGCAGGTAGCAGCATTCTGTGCACCTCAGTGTTTTGTCATGCTGGCCACATGACCACGGAGACTTTCTGCGGACAAATGCTGGCTCCCTCAGCTAGGAAACGGAGATGAACACCGCCCCCTAGAGTCAGGCATGACTGGACTTAATGTCAAGGGGTAACCCTTACCTTTTTATTAACTTCTCCATTTTTAATGATCCTTTTTGTAGTATTTACTGCTGTAGTTATGGCAGTTCTTGCCAGAAATATATGCAAACTGAATGACTGTTAAATGGAAAGAAAATTTGCAATAACCACTGCATTACTGCAGATGTGGAACATTTTCATTTATTTCCTAGCAATTAAATCCACATATTTCCCAGTCTGATTTACTGCATAAATATTTCTCTCTCTCTCTCATATTCTCATTGAGCCTAGTGCAAGGAAGAGTAGCAGGAGCTGAGAAACGATCCTTCAACTTGTGTGTGAGATGCTGGAAAAAGGGGCTTCAGTATGTGCTTAGGACCAATCATAGGCTTTCATTATTTACCAGATTCATGTTAGAAAGCTAGACTAAGACGGGCAAAAGAGAGTATTTCCTTATTCATAGCTGTGCAGTTTGTTGATAGAGCCACATTAAATGGCCCAGAAGTCACCAGACAAATTAATTCAGTAGTAAACTATAGATAAATTACTTTTGTTTGCAAATTAAAATGTTCTCAAAAGAGCACTATAGCATTGCTATAGGGTTTTTCTTCTTCAATGTGGTTTTATCCTGTCTGTATTTTATGGTTTGTTTTCATTTGTATAATTGGGAAGTGTTTCAGTGAGAATATCTTAAAATGACATGGGATATAATCCCAGTTCCATTAGAGGCAAATGGCAAAGCTCCCATTGATTTCAGTGGAGCCCAGATTTCATTAATGAATTTGATAGATGAGTAAGAAAAAAGCAGTTTTACTGGGATGGTGATTTATGTTGGCTATTTGCAAGGTGCTGCGTCCCCACCTATTTAAAGCACTTATCTTTCAGTAAGGTAGTATAGCTTTCCCCAGCCTAGTTCAACTGCCCTCAGCCCTATCCAGTCTGGCCACTGTACAGAAATGTTGGGGGTTGCAGTCCTGATACCTGGAGGCTGGGAAAGTTGAGTTCATACCTTGAAGAATTATGCCCCTTGCTTTGTCTGTACATATTCACTCAAAATTAATTCCTACTGAGCTCAGAAGCACTTACTCCCAGTGAGTGTGATACTGCAGAGCAAAACAAGTCCCTCCTGTGCATGTGGGAAGAGGGGGCAAGCTTCACGGTCTGCCTCAAAGTTGGAGGGGGGAATGCTGCAGACAACAAGAAGACATAGGCTGCTTCACCTTCCCTCCCCTGCTGCTGTGCTGTTCCTCATGGGTGGGCTGAACAGCGTAAGATGATGATGATTTGCTCTGGAAAGGGAGGATTAACTCTTGCTTCCTGATGAAACACACACCTGCTGCTTTGAAGCTCAGGAAAAGAAGTTTAATAGTGCAGTTGTTTGTGTGTGTGTGTGTGTGGGAGGGAGGGAGGGAGAGAGGGAGGGGCAGGCAATTTCAGCAGGTGCAAGAAGATGAGGCCTATGGTTATCTTCTTGCCTGCAGAAGTAAAGTGGCTCTTCTCCCTCCCCTCCCCAAGGCCACCTAATTGCTGCCTCTAAGGCTGCTTTACCTTTCCAGAGAAAAACAATTACTCATTAATTACTCATTAAGTGGATAAGATGGTCTGGTCTTGATCTTGCTGTTCTGGTTCCAGTTACAGGAATACCACAGTGCCACAAACATCCACGGCCTGTGGCTATCTTCATGCTCATCCTGAATAATGAGGACTAGCAGGATCAGCATGGGTAGGGTAGTCTACAACAGCAAGTTTTCTGCTAGCTGGTACCTCTAGTAGTTTCTCCCTCCCTTGCATGCACTGCTGTCACCTCTTTCATACTATCCCCATAGAGCAACCACCCAAAGAAAACCATGTACAGATTCGAAGAGGCGGCCTTTCATTTACTTAGACAGGCAGTGTTGTGCAGATTCCACACAGTGCAGTAGTTGTAAGGCAGTGTGTCTGCCTCAAGAGAGTTGCAGGCGGGGGATATTCAAGCTAGGTGTGGCTGGGCAGCAGGCTTGCAAGGTCTCCTTTATTTAATGTATTTATTTACTTAAAGAATCCCGAGATCAGCCAACTGGATCCAAGGGCAAAATGGCAATTCAGGAGGTTGCGCCCATTATCTGTTGCACCTCAAGGGCCACATACCAGGATGGCTTGCAAGTACGAACTCAAGTGACCACAGATCTGAGATTCTAATAGCCTAATTTAGAAGGGAATGAGCCTTTTGGTCAGTAGTAATAAAGACATAAATCAGATATTCATGCTGATTACTGCAAATGATCCAGTGATTTACCCTTCAGTCCCAACTTACCATCTGCCCATCCCTGATTCTGGCTTCAAGACTGCTGAACAGAAGCCTTTGGAGACAGAATTCAGTTTGTCTTCCAGTGTGTTTACAGAGCTCCTGTTCAAGCAAGAGTCCCCGTTCACCTAAATTTCTCTGAGTGTATAGAGCCGACTACCTCACTGCTGCGACTGGGGCAGCCATTGCAAGTGTGGCAGACTTCAGGTGTCTGTCAGAGCCATCAGTCCTCACAGCCATAAGAACTCCTCACTAGACTTGGGTTATTGGTGAAAACTCAAGTATTGGCTCCTTATGGCATGTACTTCTTAAAAATTCCATGGTCATATCAACAGCTGAAACAGGTGCAGATGCTGTGCAGCTTCAATCATGGTTAAAATTAATGTTTTACCCAAAAAATTATTATGAATTGTCAAATAGCTTACATAAGAGAACCACAGGATTTAATTGCTTATTGACAGCATCAATTCTGCCATCATATAGAAACTCAGAACTGTTTACAAATCTGATATTCCACTACTGTCTATAAATAATCTTTTTACTTTATATTCTAGGACCCCAAACGACATTTAGAAGAACATGTGGATGTGCTGATGACTTGCAACATTGTCCAGTGTTTAGCAGCAATGTTGGATACTGTTGTATTTAAATAATGACTTACTGATAAATACAGTTTCCTGTCTGTAATGATCCATTGTGTAAAGCACTGAGACTAAGATATATTTAGATGTCAAAGACATCTGGCATCATTTGCAGTCTAAGAGCATCACTCTGACACCTTTTCATCTCTGTTGTACAATTACCTAAGAGACTTTTTAATGTCAGGGTCTTCGCATTTTCCACAGCAATCCAAGAAATGGGTTAGACAATGTGTTTGTTTTCATTTTAATATTTTGGTATAATTGGCAGTGCATATATATTGATTATTTCTATGTAGGGTTTTTTTTAATTCTACTAACCAGTGTTTGGTTGACTGGTGATGTTCATGAATTGGAGGAGGGTCTTTCTGTTGACATTTCTGTACAAAGCTAAATAAGCAGGGAAGTGAACTTCAATAATCCAATGAAACCTGGAGTCCTATTCTGTGCATAGGAAACCTAGCACAATCTCATTATCTTATATATGAACCCCAGAATCTTTTTTAACCATGTGAGTCAGCTTTGAAATACAAGAAGTGCTGCTAGTATGTTCCTAAGGATAAACAAAGCACTTCTCAGCACTGAGTACTTGGTTTACCTCCTTTAGGCTTGTCTCCTTTAGGCTTAGAGTTTTTCAGGTCAGTGGGATGCGGTTTCCAAGCAGGCTTGAGCCTTTTCTGTGGCCATTACTCATTGATCTTAACTATTTGCCAAAGTAGGGAATTAACTGCAAATATCTGTAAAACAAGATACACAGTATTGAAGATTAGTGGATTGTCTGGCTTAGGCTTGATGAATAGCATTGTAGTTTATCACTCAGAAACCTTGAGAGACAAAAATGAAGATAGCTGGCACACGTTTGATATGGAGGCCCAATTAATCTGAGCAATAGTTTCAGAGAAGGAGCAGGAGATTTTGACTAGAGTTGAACCAGAACATATTTGTGGGATGAGTGCCTGAAGAAGCAAGCTAGCAAGTATCTCAAATTATAAAATGCTCAATGAACAAATGATCTTGCTGAAATGATTGTGAGAATCTGGTAAGTTAATTATGAAACAGGTTCAAGCTTCCAGGTTTAGTGCTTTAAGCTGTGATAATTCTGTATATTCCACAACCACAGTCAAGCACAACATTCTGTATTTCCAGAACACCAATTTCTAGTCCTTTTTTTCTTCCCAACCTTTCTTGCTCTTATGGCTGCAAAGTACCTTCAGACTGTGGGCAATGCCTAGTACAATCTCAGAAGGCAATTAAAAAGTGTAGTGTACCTAAACTCAAAAGTAATAACCTATTACAAATAAATTGTAATGAAATACAGATATTTTTTCTTAATGTATTCTGTAAATAGTTACAAGGGTATACTGTGATATCAAATCACAAACATGCCTTCACAGAAAGTATTTGGGGTGTAACCTTTTTTATTAGTTAGAAAAAACAGAAAAAAAGATTTACAGTAAAAGAGCTTAAGAAGGAATCAAACACATTTAAAACATAGAAGAAAGTGACCCATTGGGATTCATTCAAGCAAAACCTAAAACAAAATTTTGAATTTGTAATCAACAGTTTACATTCACAAAAGTGAATAAAGGAAGACCAGTTACTATTGATTCCATTTGTCTATTTCTTTCATATTTACATAATTTATGCATTTTGTCATTACAGTAGATTTCCATGTTTTATAGCCACTATTTTAAATTTGAGCTTTTCTGATATCTGAAAAACAACATTCTAACAGCTACTATCACATAGCTTGCTAATTTTACTATGCTGTCTATTGGGTGTTGCGTATTCATCAACAAAATAAAGTAGCAGATCACAGCTAACAGGAAAATGCCCTTTTTCTAGTAGAGTATTTTATTTATTGGTAACAGGACTATTGGAATCTATATGAGGGCTTAGCAGGATTTCCAGTTACCTGGAAGTGAGATTTGTACCTTTGAATAGAACAAATTCTGCAGAATATGTAAATATTCATAATATATGCAGACTGTAGAGCTTGGATTATCCTGGGATAAATTGGGGATTTTCTTTATAATACTGGCAGGGTTAGAGATGGTCTGTTCCTTCTGTTCAGTTGTAAGCTTTGGAATTGGTGTCAAGGGAGGAGAGCTTAAATCCTTGGAGTCCCAGACTGGTTAGTACAGTAGCTTGATCTGGGGCACAAATCATATTTCCCTTTTCCTTTGCACTGCTGTAAATAGCCCAGGCTTTAGTCCATACTGCTGAGGCACACAGTTTTTTTTTTTTTTTTTCAGGCAACTTTGGGAGTAGAGAAGTAGGCTAAAGTTTTTTGTATTTATACATGAATAGGCTGGTGGTATGTTGAAGGGACATCACTCTGTATCCTTGGGATTATTTTGGCAACCCTGCCAAGTTTTATGCTGCCAAATCTCCACATAAAAACATTCACTACATCCCTGATTATATAAACTCGCATACTTTAACTACACAGCTTTGGTGTAATACCCCATTTTGTGTGCCCAATTTAAGCATGCCTTGTCCTACTTGCTAGTTTTGCTGACAGTCACTTCAATTCTCCAGGTGGTTATTTTCCAACTTTACTTTGGACAGGGTACTAACAAAGAAAGCAAAGGCTGGAATATTCTTTTTAACATTCAGTATCGTTGCCTGTTTCCTACACACTGGTATAAGTGAATTACGAGACTATTCTCAAAGGCAGAATGTGGGTAAGATACATGGTCAGTGGTGTGTACCAATAATACCACTTAGCTTAAAATGAAGCTAAGGTACTAAAACTAAGTTGCCAAATGTTGGGTACGCCCGAGGAGATTGCTGCACCTTTTTCACCTGTGTTGGTCCAGAGACTGGCCCCTTCCCTTGCCAGGGTGGTTTTGCCAGATACCCTGTGTCACTGCTGTAGGAATGCTCTCTAATATCTTCTCTCGCAGCCAGGATAAAGCCAATCCTTGAGCTGCTACCAGAAGTGTCACAGGGACGGCAGCCTTCAACCATGTGACACAACTCACGTGATTTCTCTCACTCCTGCCACACATCTGCATCCATGGGCAGCTCAGTCGTTCCTCAGCGACTGCTCAAAGAACTCCCTGGGGAGAAGCATCTGAGGAGTGGGCATGCCTTCTAGATTTGGTTGACATGCTTTAATTGCTCTGCAGAGGATGTTGTGCCACAGATAATTTTGAAAGGCTATAGGCCTCCAATTCAGTGCCATTTTTAAAGTGGTTGCCCCCCAAAATCACTTGTAAAAAGAAAGTATTTTTAAGTGAACATTGGAACAGAGGAATGTTTTGAATATTCTGTGAAAAATAGAGTTTAATTGTGTGCTGTTGCTATCGTCCAGAAGCCAGCCACTGAAAGATTAACATCCCAAAACACGGCTTAATTTACAAGTTCTGCCATGCATAATTCACAGACATTTCTCGCAAGTAATGGCAGGACACCAGTAAATCCAGATTTACAGTCAAAGAATAAAAATGATCTAATGGATGCCATACTTGCAGAAGGAACAGTGCTGCCCCAGGTTTTCAGCAAGGCATGTGCAGAGTCCCCCACTTTCTCAGGGAATGCACCTTCTCGCCTCCGTTGCTACCTCCTGCTCGCTTGCTGATGAAGAAGACCGCTGATCAGCAACCTGCAGCTCCACCACATTACCTCTGCCTGGGCCAGAGTGAAAGATGAGCAAGGTTGCAGAATGCAACAGCAAAAAGGAGGAGCAGCTCATAGGGGCTTATACAAGGGACGGGGGGGGCTTGCCTCTTCCTAAAATGGTTGCCATTGTGGGAACAGCCACTCACAAAAACCTAATTTCCCAGTAAGCAAACTGCTGGTGCTAAAAAAAAAGGGGGGGGTGGCAAGGCAGAGGTGGAATCTCAACTCTGAAACAAAAGCATTTTTTTCGGAACCCAATACAGATGAAGCTGGATGGCAGTGCTTTGCTTTGCAGCATGCCAGTAAATAAACTTTCAAAATAAAAAACAAACCAGTCAGGGAGCCTGGCAAGTGCCAAGAGAGATGTTGGAGTCCTCAGGATTAAGGCTGCAGGCACTGAAATTAATACCTGGGAAGTTTCAACAGGAATAAGCACCTTCAGATAACATGGTCCAGTTTAAGCACCAAACCCAGCATCCTGCATTAGGCCCACAAATGAAGAGGCAGCCAGTGCAGAACAAGGGCAACGGTATCTGAGCATTCTAGCTGCTGCGTTCCATGCCAGTGATGGACCTGTAGGCATTCCATGAGATGGAATGGCATCTAGCCCTATGCAGAGAGACTGAAAGAACTGGACATGTTTAGCCTGATCAAGAGAAACCCGAGGGGAGATATGCTAGCACTCCACAAGTACATGAAAGTATATCACAGGGGAACAGGATCTCTTCTCAATCACCTCAAAGTGCAAGACACGGAATAACAAACTGGGTGTCCTCTGCATATTGATGCCACTTCAGCTCCAAAGCTCATGATTTCTTCCAGAAATTTCATGTAGATGTTAAAAAGTAGGGTGCGGGGGTGGAGTTGGAACTTTGCAGCACCCCATGGCTAATGGCCATGGGGATGGTACAGAAGTGTCTCTGCACCACCTGCTGAGATGATTCCTTCAGGAAGGACCAGAGCCACTTTAAAACTGGGCATCCTAACCCTAACCCAGCTAAATGATGCAGAAGGTATAGAGGTCTAACAGGGCTGCCCACCTCCACCTGATCCATTTCCCGGTATAAGTCATCAACCAAGCCTAACAAGGCTCTGGTCTTCCATAACCAGCTCTGGAATGGACTAAAGTAATAACATCCAATACTGCTTTGTGAATCCACTACATGTTCCAGGACCTTACCCAAGAAATGTGGCACAGGGTATTAGGTACCCAAAACCATGAGTTCCAGCTTTGGCTTCTTCAGCAAGGACTTCACTGCTGTTACTTTCAAAGCTGCGAGACCCTTCAAACAGATATTAATTGCCTGGTATACCACAGGTGAAGATTCACAAACCAGGATGACATGGATCAAAAGACCGAATGAACACACGTAGGGATAAGGTAAAATGGAGTGCTGAGTCAGCAAGTTCTCTTAGTCTGAGTTGTTTTTATTAATGATGTCTTCCCCAGTAACTTCAGGGCCATGTATATAGCTCTGTCTCCAATTATCCTCACAACAGTCATCAGAAGTATGCTGTGTTGAGTCTGTCCAGCCTCTGTCCCAAGGTGGAGGAGCTGACAGTGGTTGTGAAGAGAGATGCAATGGGAAGGTGCAGAAGCAAGAGAAGCTGAGGGCAACCCCTTCCTCTCCCAGTCACTGCAGCCCCCTCACATTCATACAGTCTTTCTCCCTCTCAAAGTCATCATCCACCCACAGCACTGACAAACGCATATTTATGCATACTTAATCTACCCCCTTCTTCCTTTTCCTCCTCCTCCCTTAAGGACTCTCTTGATCTGAGATGTTTTCTTTCTCTTGGGAAGCCATGGCAGGACCTACATTATTTTCGATTGCTATACTTGCTTCTTGGTTTAATATCCATGTTTTTGTCCAATGGATAACTGGGAATAGGAGCCTTCTGCGGGAATGCTGGCTTGCAGAAGCGTCAAGAAGGTGAAGGTCTAGTCACACATTGGAAATCCTGATCCCTCCAACCACCATAGAAGTATAATTCCCTATAAAGTGATTAATAATTAGCACTGTGTAGATACATAAGATGGATTGACCACTAAACTCAGTCTTTAACTCAAACACACACTTCATCTGTATTCCCAAATGGCTCCCCATCTTCTGTTCCTTATCTGTGAGAGTGAGAAAGTAAATGTTTTTATAATCTATAACTGCGATTTCTAGACTATCCAAATAACTAAATCAGGAAAAAGAAGGTTTCAGTGGATTTAAGGCAGGGGTGGACAGAAGACAGAACTTCAGTTGTTTTGGATCTCAACTACCAAAGCTCCTGTCAACATAGCAACAGTCAGGGATGCTGAAAGTTTAGGTCCAAAATATCTGGAGCCCTGACCAAAAGATAGTTAATCAATGTTAATTCTGGCCTTTAAAAGGCAGCCCTAGAATCACAGAAAGCAGAAACATAGAAACAGAGCAAGTCAGAAGGGGTCTCCCAAGCCATCTAGTCTGACCCCTGGCTCCAGTCAGATCTGCTCACGACATGCCCACCATGTGCATGTCCAGCCTATCCTCCTGTGGTGTGCAGGATGCAAGGTGATGCTTTTGGATATTTTAAGTCCCAAGACTCACCATTAACTCCAATTGGACATTTTTGTTGTTGTTAGTTGTGAAGTTGTGTCCGACCCATCGTGACCCCATGGACAACATTCCTCCAGGCCTTCCTGTCCTCCACCATCCCCTGGAGTCTGCTTAGGCTCACACCGATTCCTTCAGCGATTCCATCCAGCCACCTCATTCTCTGCAGTCCCCTTCTTTTGCCATCTATTGTTCCCATCATGAGGCTCTTCTCCAGGGAGTCCTTCCTTCTCGTTAGGTGGCCAAAGTATTTGAGTTTCATCTTCAGTATCTGGCCTTCTAGAGAGCAGTCAGGGTTAGGAATTGGATTATAAAAGTTACTTAAAGATCCAAGAAGGAAAAACAAAATTGTTTTTATCAATATTACAAATGTGTGTGCATTCACATCTAGATCT